CAGGTCTTTTGTTGTTGCAATACAATTTGTCAAATAATTCAGAATCTCTATGCTCATAGTTTTCCTTGATTCATTTGAGTTCAGTTTAGCAGATATTTCAAGTTTGCATGAAAAACACTATGGTTCTAAACAGAAACGAAAGATTATTCTAATTCATTAATCGAGTTCCTTCATTCAGGTTTGGTCTTGACTCTTGACCCCTGACAATGAAACATATCTTGGGCCCAATTCTTCATGATATTTCCATCTTTTGTTTTGTTACAAGTAACAATTCCTTAATTACAAGTAAACACTTATTTTCTTCAAAATCTAACCATTTTGAAACATTTAACGCTAAATGAAAAATGGTGAGCAAATTCCCGGGAATAAAATCGGAGGTGAAGAATAATTATTTTTGGAAATCGAAAATGCAATTGCCCAAATTTTGTGTTTCTAAGAGCTACCAGGTCAAAGACGAGAGACACTTGTCATATAAACAGTGAAAAACACCAAAGAATGCAATTAACTTTAAGAAAATATTAATTTCGTATAATGAGATATCTTCTACGTATCTACTACGTACACCTTTAGGAATATTAGTATTTGTTGGTTGTCTTAAAATTACTTAAACTAACTTCATGACTAACTAGATTATTACATTTTATATAAAAAAATTATGATTATATCATGAATTTATAAGAGAAACCGTGAACATTATTTAGCCAAAACTCTTTTAATTAAGTACGTGACAAAAGAGTTAACCTTGTTTAGCTAAAACCTTCCGTTTCAAAGAGACTCGTCCACATACTAAGAATATATTTCATCGATCAATTGTCATTTTCCTCAAATTTGTTGCCATGTGCGGTCATTTGGTTGAGCATTTGTGATATTCACATTGACAATTTGCAGAGAAAACAAAAGACGTTACGATGGATTTCCAATATCTATCTCTTTAATTCATTGCCACATGCATATTTCTTAACTTCAATACTCGCCACGTTAACTATCCACGTTGACCTGACCAAGACAATACTGAGTTTTTTTCCAAAATTTAAAATACGAGAATACATTTTAAAAATATCTATTGAATATCTTACCATATTTATTTAGAAAAAGACATCAAAAGTTGTAAAAAGGTAAAATAAATTGATTTATTATTTGTTGTGATGGCTTCTGGTGGAACAAGAACTCGACTATTAGAAGAAAAAAAATGGAAGAAAATTTACTTTATTGGATATTTTACTATATTTTGAATAAATACTAGAATAGTACTAGTATTTTACAAAATTGATCAATAAAGGTTTGTCACCTTTCGGAAGCATATTACGCGGTAACAGCTATATACAATGAATGACATTAGTCCAAAATATGAAAAATCTTCGGCATGCACCTATAAATACCGACCAAACATATAATAAAACATTGCATCTTAACCTTAAATGATCATCATAAAAAAAATGAGCCGTAGAGTACGAGAGACTATATCGTCGAATCATTTCTTTAGTCCGAAAATGATAACTCTTGCAATATTTCTAGTTTTGTTTTTTGCTAATGATCAATTGAGTTTTTCAGAGGCACAACTCCAATTTGGGTTCTACTCAAAAACATGTCCATCAGCCGAATCAATCGTCCGCAACATTGTTCAACAAGCAATAACCCGCGACCCTGGAAATGCTGCTGTCTTACTCCGTCTCCATTTCCACGATTGCTTTGTCGAGGTCCATTGCAAAACTTAACGCAAAAAATAAATTGTTTTTCTCATATATTATACTTGTGATGTTTTGTTCCCCCC